GATTTCAACCTTGGACTTAAACTGAGTATTATATTACAATTTGACCACTTATACTTGGTTGTATACCACTATTCAGGTTGAATGTGAGTCAAGTAGATTAGCCTAATTGCAAAGAGGTTCCCTTAATTTTTTTAAAATTTCACTGACCTTCCCCGTGACGTCTCTAAAACTGGGGGTCCTTTATCAACTTTTTGATCACTTATCAATCTGCAGAAGTTCCTGTGAATGTCGCATAACTCGACACTACGTCATAACATCCCCTTCACTGGGATCGTAACCAACACAGAGTTTAGGTAGAGTCTCCCTTGTGTTGGGCACTCTTAAACATATAACATATATACATTTCAATCACTTGACCATTCTAAGGTCTAATATACATCAATTTGTTCTTAATATTACTTCATTTACATCCTTTGAACAAAATGGCTCAAAGCCCGCAGGTTTGACAAAGTTATTTTGAATTTTTGAAAATTTTGAAGAAACTACCGGTACCTCGTGTACTTGCTACAACTAGTTAAGTCCTCTGTCAGCGAGCTACCTGTAGCTATGCCCATAGCCCACGAGCTACCAATAACTGCCAATTGTCTACCAGTAGCTAATCAACGTGCTACAGCTAGTAGGAATCACTTTTCTCCCAATTCAATTATTTTTCAATTTTAACTCACCCAATCTCATGCAACATTTACCCAAACTCATATAAAATCTAATTTTACAGAAAATATTGTTCATATGAGTTTATTATACAATCTTTTATACGACATTACAAGTCCAAAATCAATTACACAATTATTTTACAAAAATGTAATTTAAAGCCACAACTTGTCTTTCTTCATCAACAAGGACCCATGTGAGGGCTGTCCACCAGCGCTTGTCCCGCACCTGAAATTTTATTCTCATAAAGGGTGAGTCACGCTCAATAGGATATCTTCTAAAGAGGCTACTGCCCAACCTAAATGCATATGAAATGTTCACATGTAATTCAACAATTAACAAGCATTCATCCAAGAACATATAACTTCAAGAAATGAATGTCACAATGATATACTATGTTATGAGGTGAGACTCACACATGCAACACAACCTAAGCCCTCCACCGACTCCCACAACACATGCAATACTGTGCTTATGCATCTGGGCATTCTACGTCCCTGTCATTGATGTTACACATCCAATAACCATTTATAAATTTCGGGTCTTTCTTGGGATGGATATTTATGGACTTCTACCAATGGGCACCCAACCACACGGCCTTTATGGGCTTCCACCAACGGCATAAGCCGACACACTTTATGGACTCAATACCAACAGAGTACGCATTCAAATCACCGGGTCATGCACTCGTGGGATAATCTAACCCTTTTTGCTAACCCTGACTCTATTTTCAATGGAACTTGCGTGACTCAGTCGATCTTTGGCCCAACTTTTTCAAGCCCACGCGTCAACCCACCAAGGATGGTGATTGATCAAGACCATGCACACACACCCATACTCATATCAAATGCCTACGAATGTAATACTTTACGTGTATATGCAAATGTAATGAATCATTGCATTTCATATCATTATACAACTAAGTTTTCAATTATAATTAAAATGTCATTTTCAACAAACATGTCATAAGCACAATATGAACATTTCCAAATCCTTAATGTAACTTGTATCATAAATCATATAATTACATTTCAATTATCATCACAAGCATGTTATATCAATTTCATTCGAATAACATACTTAATCAATTTTATGCATTTTATCAAACACCCAAAAAACACAAAATCATGCTCAATTTATCACATTCTCATGAAATCACCAAACAAGCAATTTGAACAATCCCCAATTCATGCTAGAATTGATTTTATACATTCTTATATCATTTCTCATACTCTACTTACACTATGAGTATATGTCAATAAGAGATTTCATCTCTAATTACACTACTCATTTCCTACGCAAACCCTATGTTGGAAATAAACTTAGCTAGGAGAAAAACCTTATCTCTTGAAGCGTAATACGAGTGGTAGAAACTCCTAAGAACCCAAATCAAGCCTTAAATCTTGATTTTCAAAAATCTCAATTTTGACGCTTCGGTAAGATTCGCGATTTTTTGTACATAGACGTAACTCATCCGATAGATCAACATTCGTTCTTGGTCCGAAGTGATTCGACGAAAGATTTACTCTAGATCGTAGAGAGAAGCTTGAAGAAAACTCATTTTTCTCTCTCTCCTCTTCCCTTCTCTTTTCTGGAAAATCCACTAGCCAAAATGGGGTAAAAATATGATTTTTCCTCATTTTTATACCCTTTGGATATTTAACCCTCGTTGCACCACACGTTCGTCTTTCCTAATCCAATTTTATCTTGAATCATTTAAATCTCGTCATGTGTTATATTCAATGTATTTTATATGAACTAACTTTAAATTATTTTTTGTGTTTCTCCATTAAAATTTGATCATGTTTATTTTGGTCACGCGACGCCTGTTTGCACCGTAAAACGTAAAAAATTCGACTATTTCGGAATTCAATGAAAATTTGACTGGGTAACTAGATTTCGCAAGACGAATCCAATAGTAAAGTCTGTTTCATTTACCATGTTTGTGTTCCGGGGAGAAAGAGAGATTGTTGTGTTTGAGGTAACGTACACACGCACACACAGAGAATTGGAGAGTGAAAGAGAAACCCAAAAAATTCAAGGGAGAAACGAACGCATCTAATGTGCCTACCCGAACATGTTTGCTCTGTGGACAGTTGTTTCATGCCTAACAGACTCCAATTGCTCCCATGGTTTTGTCTTCGCAGTCTGTTGAACTGAGGAAGAGATCAAGACAAAAAAAGTGAGAGAGAGAGAGAAATGAAGGGCTACTTGGGCATGGCTATGCGTGGGAGTTTACCCCAATTGAGAAAGGAAGTTTGCTTTGATTTGGACTAATTTAAACTAATTCTATTCAAGGGTTATTTGGGTATTCAATAAAAAAAAATTGCTGATGTAATCACTTCTTGAGTTTGTCTATAATGGGATTGACGTAGGGGTACCGGGTGAAACTGTTTTATAAAGTAGGAGGGGGGCTAACGATATTTTCAGATCATTGAGGGGATGTCTCCATAATTAGGCTAATCTAGACGGCATGTCATTGCAGTTTACACTACATTTAATTATTTGTACGGAAAAGTGGCCCGAACCTTTAATTTTGTCATAACTTACCCCGTGGAGGCTCGGTAATCGATTGGCCCTTTCCTAGTCTACCCCGAGGCTACTCCATAATTAAATGTTCTTTCCAGCCCCCAGCACAAGCTTATCGTTAAAAAATATATTGCTTTTAGAAATATATGTCAATTTACTTTAAGCCAACCACCAAAATTGAATTACATGTACATATACATGTGCGTTTGGGTAAACAGTTGTCTTTCTTCCCTTTTTTTCGGTCAAGTGTAAACAGTTTGTCAAATTGTTCAGAATGTGAGGTTTATCTACTTCCGAATCCATGCAGATAGAAATCTTCCGGGCACGACCTGATTCTAGATATCAATAATACATACATATGTTTGTTGAATGGCACCCAAACCCAAGTCCTATATGCGATAAAAGGTTAACTTACAAAATAATTTCATCTTCATTCTGTTACTTGTGTGCCACAACTGACTATGAAATGCAGCATTCTCCCCTCTGCATAGAGAGCAACATTAAAGCAATCATGACTGGTTGTTCCAGACTCAACGAAAAGTTGCACTTCGATTTCCGGATGCTGGAAAAGCCTGACGTCTTCTGCCCTGGAGAAAATCTCCACCCGCTTCATCTGTCAGGTTCCCACCTATGACTGAATTCTTTTTCGTATCCCCTATATCAAGCCTACTACCACCCTCATTACCCTCTACCCCCATATCTCCCCGTGAATCCGCCCCAAATTGGCATGCAGTCCAACTAATTCCAGCAAGAATTTAAAAAGAAAGAAAGAGAGAAGGAATACCTAATAAGTCTCTAAAGGATATAACTAAAAACAAAAAGGTGATCACATAACAGACAGACCAGCAAATCATCAGTCTTATCAAAGTTTCATCACAAGAAGACCCTAAATAAAAAAGTTTCTGCATACAATTCCTCATATTTGCTCATAAAATTTCAGAAAAAGATGTAATTTGATTAGGTGGTGAAGCTAGCAGAACTACAGCTTGCAGGCTTCCATTAAAACATACACAAATTAATCACACCTGAATATTTTTCTTTGTGATGTGGGCATACAGAATATACAGGTGCTTCATGACCTTCAAACGAATACCTCTTGATCCCTGTTACTGCATCCCATACCTGTAGAACGTAGAAACTCAACTGCCTGAAATCCAACTCTTCCCATATTACAGAAACCAATGATAAGAAAGTAAAAAAACCTTAATGAGCCTGTCCTCCCCACATGTGACGATGCTAAGTTGTTTATTTGGATAAGAAAAAGCAAGATCATTGACACTACCAACATGCGCCTCAATCTGGATAACCAATTTGATCAAGATCGTGTTAGTATTAGTTATGTACATTCGACTTATAACAAACAACAGAGGGAGAGGCCTAAACAATAAAGACATATAGTTTATTAAGTCCAAAAAAACTATCAAAAAGAGAGAGAGAAGAACTCCCAAGAAGATGAGAACAAGCACATACCTCTAGGTGGTTTCTTATTAGATCATCACCACCTTGGTAGGAGTATATGTGCACAATGTGCTTGGAGTATGCAACACCTGAAGTGGGTTCAAGAAATATCAAAACAATGCCCATCGTCACCCTCAAAAAAAAAAAAAAATTCCGGTGAGAAGTAGCGTGTTTTCTAGGATGCATGTAAGCATGAAGGCAGATAAATACTACAATGTACACAGATCCCCTACTCATATACATACCAATTAAGGTGCCATCAGGACTCCAAATCACACGGTTAATTGATGCAGTATAGTCATTAGCAAGAGATGCCTAATATAAAATTCAAAAATCAGTCAAAGTGACTCTTAAGATACAATAAAAATACTCAAAAGTTGGAAAACATAGATGAATCAATCATAATTATATTCACTGAAGTTTGGTTTGATTTGGAAGCCAAACCTGCAGAGCCATTGACCATGCTCCGATATTCCAAACCTTGAAACTTCTATGAGCAAGTCTGTCACGACTAACTAGATCCCACACCATGATCTCTCCCGTGTTTGTTCCAACTAAAGATTAACACACATCAGCAAGTACATCTGATATCTAGCTTCTATAAGTCTACAGAACCAAAACTGAAAAATGAAGCTAGAATATAAATTCTATTCTTTATGGCCGGTGGGAGCTCACCAAGAAGTAAGATTGGCTCTACAGGATGAAAATCCATACTCTTGACGGGTGAACCCTGATTCAGAGTCATCACAAGAGCCTTGGGCAAGTCATCGGACGAGTATGAACTCTGACCATGACTCTGACTGGGGTATCCAACAGGTAAAATATTGATAGGAATATTAGTGACCTGCTAAGAATTATAAGGTGCAAAAGTACAATTGGTCAATCTCAACAAACATCGTCAATTGGTGTGAAGGCAAGACCCTTTACGAAATAAACTTCAGGCATTCAATGTCAAACAAATAACATGCACAAAAATTGTAAGGTAGATAAGACAACGTTACACATCAGATGTGTATTTGTGCGAATGCACAAAAACACAATAAATGGAACCTCAAAAGAAAGAGCATATATGGAGAACTGTATGAGATGACACCAGAACCAAAAGTTCTTCCTTTCGTTTCTCTATTCTTTGCTTCAATCTAAAGCAATCAATGCTCCAAGTCAAGCCATTTTAACCATCTTGCATAATTGTTATAATCTTGCTTGTATACTTAC